ACTATCGGTTGCTAAGAATCTCATTTCTCCTTGTTTCACTGAATTGTAAGGCCCAGTATCCATCAAAAGTTGCTTTTCTTAGTTTTCTGAGAATTCCAAAACTGACTTTCAGAAGTAAGGCCCAGCAAGAGACAAATCTTCCAGGGCCCTTAAATTTTCACAGGTCCCATCTCTTTGACCAAAAAATGTGTTCCTAGTATTCTAGCTAAACAGAGAATAGTCTTTTCCCCTGAAAGCAGCAAACATACACTGCCCTTTGGTGTTCAGGTGTTAAATCAGCAACTCTTTTTTTTCTCTCTGTAGAACTTCATCTGGACCTGTTGTCCATGGCAACCAGGTCACGTTGATTTACCACTGGGCCCAACTAGTAGGTGACCACCTGCTCCATTTTAACTGAGACAGTTCACCGTATAACCATCTTTATAAAACCTAGCACTGGTAAGATCTATCGCCAGAAGCAGTGTAAGGACCAACCCAATGATATCCTAAGGTTTTTGAGTAGATTCGTAGCTCGGGTTGTGGATGTTGTAGTTGGTTGATATCCTGTCTGTCTCCAGCATCAGCACCACCACCACCCCACCCCCCAACAAAAGTTGGTTTATAATGAAAATTGCTTGAACTCATTGATATACTTTGAGGATAAGCATAGTCCTGTCCACCTTTCAAACCCATGGTTCTCATTGTCCACAGGAAATTGGGGCAATCACCCACTCATCTGGTTTCCTGACCGGAGGGAAGGTTAAACTCCTGGCTGTCCTATGAAAGGTCGACCAGAAAATCCTGCTGAACCTTTTATTGGGGCCGACTCAGTCACTTTCCATGTTTGCAAGTGACCAGGGGCAGCTACGTTCCGCTTAAACCCTTGTAACTAAGGCATCTGCTTTCCAGATTTCACAAACAATCATAAATTCCGGTTCCCAAGAACATCAATGAATATTTATGGAATGCCTTGTAATAAAAATGGAATTTGACTTACCATCAATCACCGACCCCTGCTCATTGGAAACAGCAACCTCCTTTGCTCTTTCGTATACACTGTTTCTCGACGCAGAGAATAAGGTCATGTAGATTCAAGCTATGTAGATACAGTTTTCCCACCAAATCATACCATGTGTGAATGTATTGCTGTTCTTTCGCTGCCACTGGGTTAAAATCCTGGAGTGTCCTGCCTGACAGCACTACCCTTCAGGAAGGAAGGTCAGCACCCACACCCTGTTTTGAGGGGAGCTAGGTATGGGCAGTAATCTCATACAGACCAGTTACCCCACAATTTAACAAATAAAACACAACAGCTTTTGAAAATAAAGCTGGAAATAACCGTTTTGATCATCCTGACCATTCATTTCTTTGCGAAGGAGCTTTTCGTCGCATTCGACTGCGTGATCTTGAATCCCCGGAGCATGTCACGTGCTGCTCCAGCCCCGGGCCTCATTATCAAATTCCTTTGTCATGGCAACCAGGTACCAGGCAGACTTCCTTAGATCTTGGTTGTAAAACATGGAGAGCATTGGCCCATTGGACTCCCCGGCAGATTTATTAAAGAGAGGATGTGATTGGGTGGATTCTCAGGCACAGTTTGAGCAGGTGGTAATGTCTGTCCATCCACCATCTGGCCAGGATGGATGTATCATCCCTGGTGGGGGCATGTAGTGAGGCTGTCCTGGCATCGGCAATAAATGCCAACTTGGTCAGTGATGCCCATACCTCAATATAAAAACAAAGAGCTGAAGATCCTGGAAATCTGAAACAAAAACAGAAAGAGCTGGAGAAATTCAACAGGGCCGACAGCATCTGTAGAGAGAAAAAGCAGAGTTAACATTTCAAGTCCGGATCCTTCTCAAAATGTTAACCTTGTTTTCTGTCTACACATGCTGCCAGACCTGTAGGGTTTCTCTAGTACTTTTGGTTTTTGATCCTTATCTCAAGAATTCATCTTTAAAGTGGCTGAGCAAATGTCATCCTCTGAAGGATGTTAGTGAATAGTGGGGCTCTTACCACAGTCATAGAAACATAGGAAATATGCACAGGAGTAGGCCATTCAGCCCTACAAGCCTGTACCACCATTCAATATGATCATGGCTGATCATGCAAATTCTCTCCATACCTCTTGATCCCTTTAGTTGCAAGGGCCACGCCCAGCTCCCTCGTGAATATGTCTAATGAACTGGCCCCAACAGCTTTTTATTGTAAAGAATTGCACAAGTTCACAACTCTGAGTGAAGAAGTTCTTTGTTATCTCAGTACTGAATGGCTTACCCCTTATTCTTAGACTGTGACCCCCTAGTTCTGGACTTCTCCAACACTGGGAATATTCTTCCTGCGTCTAGCCTGTCCAATCCTATCAGTCTTACATCTTGTGACAATTTATTTTGTGACTGGCTTTCTGTTCCCAATTTTGAAAAAGAAATTGGATTCAATTCATAAATTTGGATTCCGAATTCACATTCTCTGGATTACAAGGCTAGGCGTCTAGATTTCCAGTGCTATGATAAAAACACCCCGACATGTCTATACAATGTCCAAAGTGCAACCATCTTCAGCTTCTTCCCTCAATCATTAAAGTGCGAAGTAGGGACATACGCACAGCGTTCTGTACCATTCACAATCTGTCAGATAATGGAGCAGTCCTCGAGCAAAAGACCTGGACAACAAGCCTACTCGATTGGCATCCCATCCACCACCTTCAACATCCTGTCCTTCTGTCACTGATGCACAGTGACAACAATGCTGACCATCTACAAGATGCACTGCAGCAAATCACCAAGGCTCTTTCCAAACTCATAGTCTCTACCATCTAGAAGGACAAGGAGCAGCATATACATGAGAACACCACCCCTTTGGAAGTTCTCTTCCAAACCACTCAACATCCTGACTTGGAAATATATTACTGTTCTTTCACTGTTGCTGAGTCAAAATCCCGGAACTCCCTCCCTGAAAGCATTGTGGATGTACCTACACCATAAGGGCTATGGGAGTGTAAGAAGGCAGCTCACCATCACCATTCCAGGGCAATTTGGAATAGGCCCACACCCCATTAGTAAGTAAAAGTCAAAAAAGAATGCCTGTCAACCTCTGTGACTCGGCTTCACATCCAGAGACCCTCACCAATCAAATCCTTCGTCTTGGACTGGTTGGAAAGCTCGTCATGTTGTGCTGGCTACATTATATGGCAAAGGAGGAGGCCATTTGGTCCCTCATGTCTACATTGTCTGATTAAAGTATTATCCATGCTATCCCAATTTTCAGTTCTTGGTCTGTAGCCATTTAGGTTCAAGTACATTAAGTCCAAATAAAAGTACTTTTTAAATGTGATGCGCAAACGAAGCAAGTGTGATTTGAGAGACACATTTTATTCAGACTGTGAGTGTACAGAATGCACTGTCTGGAAATGTGGTGGGGTCAGGCTCAATTGAAGCATTCGAGAGAGCATTGACTGATTATTTGGATAGAAATGGCGTGCAGAGACATGGGGGAAAGGTAGGAGATTGACACCAGGAAATGGAACAGGAGCAGGATTGATGGTCTGAATGACCTCTTCCTCGACCATAACTCTGACAAAGGTTTCTGCCTCTTTCGGGCAGAGATCCCCAACGGCATCTTTAAATGAAAATATTTTCTTCTTCACTTTCTGCTGTTTCTACCAGTTACTTTAAATCCAGGTGACCTGGTTATTGACCTCTCTAATAAGGGAGATATCCTATTCACTCTCAACACGAGAGAGAGAATCAGCTGGAGAAGAGATTTGCGTACTCCATTTACCAACTTGGTCCTTGGTAAAAGCAGACAGGTTGATCTAACTGTCGGACTATGTGAAGGACGGCTGCAATGTAGGGAATGGTCCCTGGGCCAGCAAGTGCCTTTTCTTAATATCTGTTGTAGTCATGTTCTTTATTTCAACAAGAATTGTTAAGCCTGAATTGGATTTTTGAACAAACTGTGAATAAAACTGGCCTTGTGCAGGCGTTTCTTTGCTAAACTCTCTCTTGTTGCACTGGAATCTGAACAAAACAGTCATGAGCACAATAACCCAGGGTCCCATCCTTCGCTGTTGATAAAATACAGAGCTGGAGGAGCACAACAGCATCTGAGGAGCAGGAAAGCCGACGAAATGTGACATTTCCAGCTGCACGTTTTATTGATTCTAACTTCCAGCATCTGCAGTCCTTCCTATCTCCTAGTCCCTACCTTCACTGTCTATTTCACTGATCGACATAAGACCACCCATGGGCCTCCTGCAGTAACAGCAAGCTCTGGTGTGGTTTTGAGCCTCATCGGCATTAGCTTCACCTAAACTGCTCATTCCATCTCCAGTCTGTGCTCTGCTAGCTCATCTCTCCCAGAGTGGCCGTGAATTAATATGCTCAGAAGGTTCTGAGGAAGGGTCACCAGACCCGAATCGTTAACTCTGATTTTTTCTGCACAGATGCTGCCGGACCTGCTGAGCTTTTCCAGCAACTTCTGTTTTTGTCCCTGATTTACAGCATCCACAGTTCTTTTGGCTTTTGGGAGTGAGGGAAATGTCACCTGATATCCTACTGGAAATTAGGATTTACAGACAACAACGAACTTGGAAATAGTGCACAGTATGGAGACCCCCTGGATAACCCAGTGCATGAACTTTGCACTCAATACTTGGGTTAGCAAACCCCTGGAATCTCCAGATATTTGCGGTTAATTTCCTGCATATTACTGCAAAAGCAACCCAATGGAAAGTACTTATAGAAGTGTTAAAATTCAGACATACATCCTGATCTTATTTGCTGTTCAAAAATACTGGAGATGTGGCGAAAGCATGGTTTAACTGGTTGGGTTAACAGGGCTTTCTCCAGGAATGTGCCCATTGTGAGTTGGCAACTTTAGCCAATGCACAGTATCCTGCCTTAGCCCTAGGAAACATGGCCAGGGCCTGGGGTGGCAAACGGAGGGAATGCTCGTCACCCTGACGTGGCAATGCACCTTGACAACCTCAAGTGATTTACAAATGTCTTCTGCATTTCCAGATCTTCGGACGAAACATTCCCTGGAGCTGACTTGTTGGCAAGCTGCCCTTACCTACTCAGCTGAATGGATATTCCAAAGGCAGAGGTGACCCTCCTCACCAACAGCATCCAAGCCTACATGCAAATTAAATGTAAGTACCTAATGCCTTAGGCTTAGATGTTATAATTGTGCTTGCCTCTGGCAGTTCATTCTACATACGAACTGTCCTCTGTGTGGAAAAAGTTGCCCCTCAGGTCCTTTTTAAATCTTTCCCCTCTCACCTTAAACCTAGTTTTGAACTCCCCTAACTTAGGGAAAAGACCTTTTGCTATTCACCCTAACTATGCCCCTCATGATTTTATAAACTTGTCCATTCATTCCAAACGCTGTTACAGTGAGGGACGTGTCTTCCTGCACCTGAATGCCTGTCGCTACCCGGAAACTGAATGACAAACTCAGTGACAAGGTACCTTTAAAAAGACATGCTACCATGTATCTCGTTCCAAAATAAGGAGTCACACAGCCCCAGGTTACAGTCCAACAGGTTTGTTTAAGATCGCAAGCTTTTGTAACACTGCTCCTTCACCTGATAAAGGAACAGTGCTATGAGAGTTTGTGATTTAAAAAAAAAAAATCCTGTGGAATAATAACCTGTTGATATTGTCCACCCCAGTCCAACATCGGCATCTCCATGTCCAAACTAATTCTGTGGCTAGCTTGGAAAAAATAGCCTTGTTAAGATTTCCGTTCCCCCAATCACTGACCGTTTTCAGTTTGATACAAATGAAAGTGCACGTGCATTGTGTCAAAACATGCCAAGTGCTTTTCACAGCGTGTTCCCTCCGAAGAGATGAAAGGCCAATGTTGAAACTTACTGAGGCATTCAGTCCTCTGTTGTAGCGCTCCAGTGGTGTAGGGTTATGTTAGTGAACTAACTGAACCTAGAAGCCTGAACGAACAATCTAGAAAAAGTAAGTCCCATGGTGGCAGTTGAGAATCTTTATTTTTTTTTTAAAAGGAATCTGAAAATAGAAAGCTGGCCTCAGTAAAACTGACCATGAAATAATCAGAAATAAGGGAACAAATCATAGAATCCCTACAGTGCAGAAAGAGGCCATTCGGCCCATCGAGTCTGCACTGACCCTCTGAAGCGCATCCCACCCAGACCCACCCAACCCTGTCTTTCCCACGGTCAATCTAACTAACTACACATCCCTGGGCAGTCTGGGCAACTTAGCATGGCCATTCCACCTACCCTGCACATCGTAGAATCATAGAATCCCTACACTGTGGAAACAGGCCATTTGGCCCTACAAGTCCACACCGACCCTCGGAGCATCCCACCCAGACCCCTCCCCCCCCCCCCCCGTAACCCCCCCAATCTACACATCCCTGAACCCTATGGACAATTTAGTGTGGCCAATCCATCTAACCTGCACATCTTTGGACTGTGGGAGGAAACCAGAGCACCCAGAGGAAATCCACGCAGAAACGTGGAGAATGTGCAAACTCCACACAGACAGTCGCCCGAGGGTGGAATTGAACCCGGGTCCCTGGCGCTGTGAGGCAGCAATGCTAACCACTGAGCCACCGTTCTGCCTGTAAGGTCAGCAGGTTGAGCAGTAATTGTGCGGAGATAGAATTAATTAAGGTTGTCAACTTGCAGCATCTCTCCACACACCTGCTGTACTTTTTCCTAAATCAGATTTGCAGCATCAGCAATATTTTGCTTTTGTGTTGAAGAAGTTATTGGATTGTTACAGAAATCAAATTTGTTCACTTATGAATTTTGTAAAGGAAGGAAACTAACTACCAGCCCCCATACTTATTTCAAATGTTCAGTCTTGAGAAGTGGGTGCCATTTGCAAGGCTGAAATACATTGTCCATCTCTAAGTAGCTCTGGAGAAAATGGCAGTGGCCCATGTTCTTGATCTACTGTAAAGTCTGGAACAGGTGAATTCCTGGATTTGACCTAAGTGGTAATGAGGGAGTGACACTATCTTCACCACTTTGCAAGTCTGACATTTTGCTCATTGTTCCTGGTAGCAGTAGCCTTCTTTGTAGTAGACAGCTATGACCACTAGAGCGCAGTTTTTAAAAAAATATCAACCACATTCATATGTAAAAACTGAAAGAACTGCGGATGCTGGAAATCAGAAACAAAAACAGAAACTGCTGAAAAGCTCAGCAGGTCTGGCAGCATCTGTGGAGAGAAATCAGAGTTAATGTTTCTGGTCGAGTGACCCTTCCTCAGA